GCCACCAGGCATGTCCGGTGACACGTATTACGCGGCGAGATATAGACTGTAGGGTACCCGACAGGAGGAGACATGCAGTTCTCCTCCTGGTATCAGCTGCGCAATCATTGAAGCTTAAGGTTAAGTTTGGGTTTAGGCTAGGTTTGGGCTTATGCTTACACATTGGCTTATGCTTAAGCCTATGATTGGGCCTTAGGCTTAGTCTAAGCTTGCTTCGAGCGAATGAAGTGTGTCTCAATTTAGGTGATCTGACCTGAGGAGGAGAACTGCAACGCACCTCTCGCCGCGTGAGGAGAAAGCATAAACGCAGCGGGTCAGCGGAGGAGTTGCAACGCTGATACTGTCGTGATTTGGCGCCAAGTTAAATATGTAGAATGCGGTAGCACGCTCCATATCACACAGTTCGCGCTGCGACTGACCCGTCTGCACCTCCGTCTTCGCCGCGCGACGGGCCTGTCGGAAGGGGGGAGAAGGTGATTTGCAGTTCTTCTCACGTCAGGTCACCTAAAATTGGGACATCACTGATTTGTTCGAAGCAAGCTAAAGGCTAGGAATAAGCCCAATCATAGGCTCAAGCATAAGCCTCCGCTGCGTCTATGCTTTCTCGCCGCGCGGCAAGCCTCCTGCCAAGCACCCAGGATTGAATATATGTCATGGTATCGTGAAACATGCCTCCTTCTATCACCCCAGCTTCTTACCCTAATCTTACCGAACTTGTCAAAACACAGCTGACTCACCGTTGCCTAGGGCGAAGCAAAGGATGGCCGCTGATGTGAGTGGAGTGAGAGGGTTCATGCTGGAACGACCTGGGAAGTTTGGAGGCAATGATAATTACAACTTCCTTGCTTATATACCTTGCCTGCTCGATGCGCAAGCAATGAGGACGCGCCGTTTTTCTTCCCACACAAGCTAGTTCTCGCTGCTGTTGAAGGCAGCATCACTAACGTAAGATCTGATGGGCTTACAATTGGAGTCACCCATTCCGTGTTTTTGGATCTCACTTGCTGTTTTCCTTTTAGTGAGTCCGATGCTTGCAAAAGGTTTGAACTCCTTGGGAAACTTCCACCTACATATTAGCAAAAGTTAATAACCGGGTACAGGCATTGGTGCTTCCGTTGGTTATTTTTGTAATGACAGCCTCTGTGGATTCATGATCTAGTGGAGTCAAAGATCCTGTTTAGGAGTGCGCCATACATTCAAGTCCGACGCAGAGTTGCAGAGTTCTTGAGGGTCTCAAGGTTTCTGTCAATCCTATGGCTAGGCAAAGTGTTGCGTTGTGCCCTCTAGGAGCTCTCACAGATGCAAACTATCGCAGCCTATGATTTCTATGTTATTTTTTTGTTAGGCTTAGTCCTAGCACTACGCAGAACGGATACTTTCCATCTACACTCCCACGCTTCGGCTGGCAGAAGCCTTGTGATCGATTTCACTGACTGTTAATCATTGCGATCGATACCCCGAGCCGGCGGCACAACCTCTGCACAGGGAGCGGTCAACAGACTCGTCCGGGAGTGGCGCCGTCGCGCGCGGTTGCTTGCGCGGCGTCGTAACGCGGCAGTTTTTCGATGGGCGCGGCAATAATTGACTTTGTCGATTGGAGCGATGAATTAGCTGCAGTCCACATTAATCAAGCAGACATCGAAGTCCATTTTGCTTGGTGAGATACCTTCTTCCTCCATAGCACTGCCTCAGATTCATAAAGCTCAGTTTAGAATCACCCTTGGAGGAGAAGAGGGCTTGCGAAGTGCGAAAGCAGTATTCATTCGGTCCGGACAAAGAAGGAGTTCGAGAAATTCCCTATAAATACTTTCTCGTCCAAATAAAGGAATGTCCTGGTATGAATTCTGACTTTGCTGAGGTCTTTCTATGCAGTGAAAACCACAGCGAAGTCAGAATTCAGACCAGAAAATCAGAATAAACAGAAAACTGGAATCAAACAATTTACTCCCGAGTAATATGGGAACGGGAAAAGGAAAAGATTCTTCTGGAGCCGCAATCACCTATGCATGGATTGGGATGGTAAAGGGAAAAGTCGGTTTAGCGTCTTCTCAACATTTGCAATTAAATGATGCTTATGAAACTCGTCCACCGCCATCGCGACGTCGTGACAACGATCACTGGCGCGGGTTTTCGGAAGATTCTGTTGACACGCACCCCCAGAGTAACGCCCGTAGTAATTCAAAAACTAGGGGGTCTTTTTTGGGATTCCGGTGGGGCCGCAGTTGTGAAAGATGGAAGGTAATTGATAGGGGAGAGCTTGAAGCTTTTCCAAACTCCAGAAATATTCACGGCTGTGGTGGTGTTAGATGAAGGTGTATGCAGCCCAGCAACCCAATTTCAATTGACATTGATGAATTGTGGGAAAGGGATTAGTACTAATGTTGAGAATGTAGCAGAGAAGACATGAAGGCTTTTCCCCTCTGTCCGCTCAAAATCCCTCAATCACTAGCTCGCTTATCGACGCAGATCCTGCCCCTACGAGATTCTCACTGGTTGGAAGTTCTTTTGAGACGGTAAGATGCGGCAAAGAGATGGGATAGTCGACTATTCTAGGGAACGAGTGCAAACCATGCTCTTTAAGTCAGCGCGCAATGGGATTCTGAGGGGCCTTAACAGTTTTTTGGTTTCTCTCGTCGCTGATTCTCCAACCGAATTCTTACATATTCAAGTGCAACGTAACTACTAATAGTCTATCGTGAGATTGCGTTTAAATGTGCTTTTTCGGCACATAGGTTAAATTTGGGAAGCAAAAGCAATTTGGGAACTTGAAAAGCTTCATTCGTTGATTCGTGACGTGACTTCTTGTGGAAGCTGAAAAGGAGAAGCAATCGTGCGCAAATGCTCAAATATCAAAGCAGGTAGCTCGAAGGTTGAGGAAATATGTGCAAGACATAGCAGCAGGGTGAAAATCGTGTAGAGGAAATGGCGGCCTCTTTACGACCCCTTCCCCTCACCGGAAACTTTGATACAACCCCTTTACACTCCGCACCACATCCAGTTTCATAATAAAAGAAAATGTTCTTCAGGAAATCAGTGATGAGGACTCATTCAAAATACTTTATTGGTAAGCTTTCGCTGTGCTAACAGCTTCTTCAGACCTAAACATACAAATCAAGCATAACATACGTACGCTAATTCTTAGAGCATAAAGCTATACGAACGTACTAACCGGGCAGTCAACAGCAATTCGGTAACTGCAATACAACATAGTAACGACTACTGCTAGTAACATCAACAGAAGAACGGCTTACCCCGACGCCACTCCCAAGCAATTAAAAGTTACTACAAATGCGATGCGCGTGACTATTGCAAGGAATTCTTAATCGCCACCGCTAAGATATTAGTCTTAATGCCTCCATGAGTTCATCCCTGTTGTTCATTTCCGGGGATAAACGTTTAATAGCAAGGGCTTCGAGCAGTTTCCTTTGCAATGGAGCTTCCTTCGTGCGGTGCAATATAGAAACTTTAAGATTGGGAGGCGCTTCCTGTCGGTGATATTGTGCACGATGTCTCGAAAACGCACTGCTTGGATAGGAAGATGGATTCGAGCTTCCTTGAACGTTGGGTCCCGCCACTATTGAGTCGCTGGTACATAGTTCGACTCGCTGGTACATCGTTCGACTCGCTGGCGCAAAGTTCGATTCGCTGGTGCAACGTTCGATTCGCTGGCGCAACGCTCGGATTCAGCGATTCGCAAACTATGACATCGGCCGTATACTTTCAGCCGTGACAAATACAGAAAGGCGACAAAATGACGGTTTTGTGTGAGAAGTTGATATACAGATTGAATAATTAATAATAATTTAATTTTGCCGGTGAGTGCAAAAAGTGCGCGGTCCGGAAAGGGTTAAGCACGTTCAAAATGCTGTGAGGGCATGTCATTTCAATGATGCAAATAGAAAATAATACACTTGGCCCAGATTCATTTCGTTCTGGTATGCGCCATGCAGTGACCCCACTCGGAGTCGTTTGAAAGGTGTTTGTCCACACGACAACTACTTGTGCAGGCCGAAAGGTGTTTCTAGTCTCATTAATCAGAATAACTCTTATGGTCATAGTACAGTATGATCATTCCTTTATTAGCGTCGCTTCCTTTCCGATCCTGTTCTCGATGAATGACACATTTGCGGTTGCAGTATCTGATGATGCCAAGAAGGCTGCGAATCTGCCTGTTTTGAACTTTCTACCAAGATACTGTTTTTCCACTATATTTCTAAATGTGTACATCAATTTAGAGTACATATCCTCTGCCCAATCCCTACGATTATTCTGCAGAATGCGTATTGATCACTACGAACTACCGGCATACACCTTCCATTCAGATTTTAGTTCTAGACAGTGTAAGATATCATTTGCATTACGCTAACTGAAACACTTGTGAAATTAATGATGACAGCAAATGAGTGGCAGCAGCACCGTTGTGTCCGTTGATGAACCTTTGATTACGACCCCCTCCCAACTCTCATCGGAGCAAATACGACCCCCTGTCGAGGATTTTCTCGACAGGGGGTCGTATTTGCTCCGATCAGAGATGTATTCACCCTGCATAGCAGTATCAGCAGGTGTGAGACGTGGCATCCTTGATAACATCTGAAAATTATATGCTCCGCATGCACTTCCAATTTTTTCTTGAATTTTGCCTGATAATCAGAAGCGTGTTCTTCCATATACCTATACTGCTGTATGTTTTCCTCGTTCCCGCTTATTGGACAATTCTACAAGCTATAATAAATATACCATAAAAAGCGGAGTTACGGCCAAACAGTGCCTCGCTAGCGTTTCTTGTAAGGCATTTGCCCGATAAGTAAAAGATGCGGGTTCGAGTCCCACCTGAGGCGAATGTTTGTTCATAAATCAGCATTCGTGTGCGCTTGCGTTTAATATGCAACGCAAGTTCTGTTTGCTGGGAATTTTGTGGCGGCATGAACTACACAGTCGTTATTAAATATATTTATTCACATGAAATAAATATTAGAATCCGCAGTGCAGGGCTCCTGCGTCTAAGAGCAGTGGCCGTGACCTAAAATCCATCTATTGCTGTATCCAACTAATCTTATTCGTTAACGCACCATTTCTCACCGCCAATCTGTGAGGCTTTCTCACATAGCGAAAATCATATACACGAATAATCAATTTTTGGTACAAAAACGCTTGTTGTCTCACCGTAGTGATCGTCATGACCGCCGAAGTCGTGATTGGCGCCATGATGATGACGAAATCCTCGACCAAGGTGTCCAAAGTCGTGACCATGGTGGAGTCCGTGGAGACCAAAGCCGTGTCCATATGAGCCTTGGTGATCATGATCGTGGCCATGGTCATGGAGTTTATGCTCGTAAACGTCATCGTTGTGAAGGTATTCGCCGGCATGGTGCTCTTTGTCGTGAAGTCCTTCGCCTAGCCCGTCACTGTATTCAGATCCTGAAATTCCAAATATATCAATAAGCTCACTCAAGAGGACTATATAAATATTAATACCGTAATATGATGCGTGCTCTTTTCCTTTAGCGTATCTTCCCCATCCACCGTACTTGTGCTTATCGAGGTCATCATAATGCCCCTCATCGACGCCTTTCATGAGACCGTTGTCATAAGATTGCTCGTGGTCATATCCTTGGTTACCATCACTGTACTCGCCTTGACCATGACTATAGTGATCTTGAGGAGAAGTACCTTAATAAGCAGTAAGAACAATATGAGCGTCAGCAATAACTTCGCAGCGGTTCTAAGCTGCTGTACAATATATACCTTTCTGCAATGTTGACTTGTCACTAGCCAGAGTAATGTAAAACAAGGAAGTCACTACTGAGAAGACAAGGGTGTTCATGGCTGAAGCTGAAGTATTGTTGAGCAGAAGAATACTCATCTGTTTATATACCTAGGCTATGCAACAGTTACTGGATGCGATTTGTTTTTGTTACCTCTCTAACAGGTCTCGGAAGTAGTCCAATACAGCAACATCATAGCCCTATACATTGTAGTGGTCATTATATTTCCACCTTTTTGTCGTTCTTGCCTCATGTTGTAGTGGCTGCGACCACTAGCGCATTTTTTATGATACCTTCGAAAGCTTCCATGTCGACTCATTGCCTACATACGCACTTGCATTTCCGCCCACACGTACTGGAGTGTATGTAGAGTCGTACTGAAGGGGAACTCGGTTTATACGGAGCCATATGCCCTACGTGGTTTTATGCACATCATTGGCCATGTAAAACTACTGACAGTGCACAGTATGAAGCAATGTTTGAATTGGAGAGCCTCGACATAGAACCACATAACTAAAACTTAAAGGAATCCTTCGCGGAAAATTCTTGCATTCTTTCTTAACATGAATGTGTCAGTTGTGATCACTGGAAACAGCACACAAAGTTTCACGCATGAAGATTCGGTTTCCGAAGAGAAACAAACGTACAAAAACTACACTCTATGGACAATCGAAGGTAATTCGGGCCAGAGTCGGGGCATGGAAAAGAAGTTAGCCTTTGGCCGGCTACGTACCCTCCCCTTCAAAAAGCCAGAAAGTGTCGGGTGCAGACCATACACCACAAGTGACGACGGCCTCCAGAAAATGCAAATGTTTTTGCCAATGAAATGATTAACCTGTTACATTGGAACCAGATTTACTTGGAGGCCGTCGTCAGTTGTGGTGTTTGGTCTGCACCGCACAATTCCTGGCTTTTTGAAGGGGAGGGTATCAGGCGACGCAATGAAAGAATCGGGTTGAAGCGCGATTTTGGAGAGTAGAGACAAATCGATCGATAGAATAGGATGGAGTAGAAGTGTAAGATGTGAATGCAATAAAGGCCAGAAAGAGTTTCTAGTGAAGGCACTCCAAGAACCAAGTGGAAGCATCCCCGTCGCCAGCATTTGTGAAAGACGTCCGTGGGCACTTTGAACGCGTAGCAGCCCTTTCGATTTTTCGATTTTTTTTACCAAAACAAAAGCAATATTTCTGTTCTTTTCATTCTTATCGTGGATAATGAGTCTCAAGCCAGTGATTTATGGCTGAAATAGAATCATGATTTTTCCGTGAAGGATTCCTATTTTAAACATAGGTCCTTGAACTAAGAAAAATGAACTTACACAGCTGTGCGTCTTCTGGGCTTCAGTTATAATCTGAGGAGGAAATTTCAGTAATTCCATACGCGGTTTTACCGCGATCATACGGTCGACATTTAGCAAGCAATATTATCACTCATCCTATGTGTTATTCTGACATAATCGACTGGAATCTCAGATGACCGTCAGAACACGTGCGCATTTCTCCGATGGAGCAAGAAGTCGAAAGGGACAAAGAAGAAAGTGCCAGCTGGCATGGCCCGCAAAAAGAGGCTCCGAGATGGTCCTGAGGATTCCAGTCGCCGTTTTCGCACCAGCTTCCTTCTCTATTCTGCTTCGCTAATTCGATTCTATATTAATTCTGGTTCTTAACAGGATAAAGTGGCCTTATATTCTGCTGTTGTGTCAACGATATAGCACACTGGTCGCAGAGACAACCCCGTGGCACGGAATAAAATTACGCATTTAAAAAATGTATAATTATTATATGGTGTATCGGTCCCATCCAAGGATCTGAACCGAAAAAAACGATCACTTGACCTGTGCGAAAGTTCGCGCAGCATGTCCATCAATAATTCGTAATCGTCGGTTGGAGCACCTATCTCACAAAAATGGACACCGAACGCAATCAAAGAACCGCTGAGCAGCAACCATTTACTTTAGAAGACGCTTCCACCGCTCCTTGCAGCTACGGATCTGCATGATGAGATAATTCGATATTGCTCGATTTTGATGATTGTTAGGCCGTTGTCGCCCTCAAAGAACGCCTGCGGTTTCTCGGGAAGGAAAGAAAGCGAATGGAGAAGCTCAATCCGTGCACTTCATGAAACCATCGAAGGTATGACCCTCTTAGTCAAGCTGAACAATATCGAGTAGATGGCGACAGATCAACTCTCCAATATCACAGCAATACAGTCTCTGTTTCAAGAGCTGCAGAGAGACTTCCACTGCGATGACTAGGACGAAAAAAAAACTCGTTTCAAAAAAGAAATAAGCATTGACTTAGAACAGTTCCAAGAGGCTAGATTGGATTTACCGGAACACATCTCGAAAAGAATGCGCCAACATCCGGAAAATGCTGTGGCAGGGAAGGGCCTCGTTGGCGAAAAGATAAAGAAAAACAAATCATTGAGCAGAAAGCCGTAGATGCAGTAGGAGCACACCAGTGCAATGAGGAGGCACCTTATGCATCTGATGATCGACAGATACGGAATCGAAATATGAAACCATTCCAGAACTTGTAGATGATGAAAAATATGGAGATCAAGAGGACCTCGAACAGGAGAATGAAAAATATGAAGATTAAGAGGACCTCGAATAGGCGAATAATGCGATCTAAAAATGACCAAAGAGGCGAGGGAAGAGGGCGGCCCGAGCGAGTCGGAGATGAACTCAGAATACCCCCTAAAATGAAGAGCATGTACCAGAAGAAGAGGCCGAGGTTGAGCCAGCTCACGTTAGGCGTTCGCGCCTAATTGAATTTTGAAGTTTTGAGTTCCAGACAAGTTATCATTGATCTAGGTACAGTGGAGGAGCTCTATAAGTAGCTCTTGCCTTTCTGAAAAGTGTCGAAATGGACGAATCACGAAATGGGAGGAGAGATTCATGTCCTGCACATTCTGCGGCGTCATTGGAGTGCACCGCTCCGATTCATGCCCCGTGGTCACATCAGTGGAAGAGGTCGAGGGAAAAAAAGATGCGATTCCTGTCTTGAAAGGGATTGCCCTTAGACAGTGGAATGCAGCAAGTATACCGAGAGATCTTTTTATTGCAACCAAGTCGGCCATCACTCCCCCTTTTGCAAACTATTTGATCATAGCGACGATATTCGCAGCAGAATTCAACCCGGGCCCGATGGGATGTTCGGGCGAGGATGGAATATTGGCAAGAGCAGCACGACGCTTCTGGCAACAAAGGAGGATCATTTGCGGCTGGTCCTACTGGTCTCGTGGATATCCTGGTCTTACTGCTATAATAAGGTCGCTTTTACCAACCAGCACTCTTAATCATTGTAAATGTTAGTATGATCTATCAAGATGACCATGTGCGCTTTCCTCCCATGAAACAAGAAGTCGAAAGGAACAAAGAAGAAAGTACCAGCTGCATGGGCCAGCATAAAGGGACAGTCCTGAGGATACCACGAGTCGTTTTCACACCATTCCTTCCCTGTCACTATACTGTGGTTCGCTGATTCAATTCTATATTAATTCTGCTTCTTAACAGGGTAAGGTACGCCTTATATACTTTGTTGTTGTGCCAATTGTATAGTATACAGATTAGCTGAAATATATGACCACGCCTAACAGAGCTATGTATTTCATATAAAATCTATAAACGATGCATGAGTGTTTTCATTGTAAACACCAAAATCAAATATTTTTGGTGCTATTTTGAAATGTTGGAGATTGTTCCTTTTTCCTTCATGCTGCATTCCTAACGGAAGTATACAAATTCGAAGAACGCTTAAAGTTCCCTTGATATACATTAATCATTAATAATTTCGGCATGTCTTTGAAACAGATTAAAATATTGCGTATGTTCTTTCTCAATAATGCTCTGCCATACAAGTTGCTGTTGATGACCGGCTGTATTCCTCGCGTTCGGTTCAGGTTTGGCTTGCTTCTGAATACCAAGTAAGTTCCAACAAAAGACTTAGATGTTTTTAGATTTTGAACTACCCGATCAAGCTCCACGAATCTAACTACAAATGTGCTAAACGATAGTGTGAACAGTGTTATGAAACAATATAGAGCAGGGGCAGTGGTGCGGGCCCACGGTCGAGAGACCGTAGGATTGATTCCCTGGCGGTTGATTTAGCTTGAAATTCGCTTCTGGAGGTACTTTTATATCCGGAATACAAATTCCACATCTGTCTGGTACGAGAACGGCTGTCAAGAGTTCTGCGGGCTCCATGGCAGCCGCTACAGTAGCGCCCAAACTTGTAAGGAACTCCTCGCATTTCTTTGTAAGGGTAATTATAGGCACACGTTTTTCAAGTAACGTACCCTCCCCTTCAAAAAGCGAGAAAGTGTCGGGTGCAGACCATGCACCACAAGTGACGACGGCCTTCACAAAATGTTAATGTTTTCTGCCAATGAAATGATTAGCCTGTTGCAGTTGTATTCTATCGTTGTCACTAATTACAACTATCATTTACCAGAAATCAGCTATCACTATGAACAACTTCTAACCAGATTTACTTGGAGGCCGTCGTCAGTTGTGGTGTTTGGTCTGCACCCGACACTTTCTCGCTTTTTGAAGAGAGAGGTTAGGTGGAAACCCTTTTCAATCATGCTGCTGCGAAAGCAAATGGGAACCCGTCAGTCGAGTAGGGACCACTACCCTATTGACTATGGGAGATTTGAAAACCGTATTTGAGATCAGCGCCCAAAAACACATCCACAAGCCTGGGTCGCATTACATTTGGCCACTTCGATCCATCATCCTCTCTTCGGTAACCAAACCTTGCTATGCAACCCACTGGGGCCACAATACGGACCACGAGGACATTTGTGTAGCCAATTTCGGTACAATGTATGTAAATTTTGAAAAATTTATTTACATTAGAAGAATATGGAAGATGGAAGTTTGTTGGTATCTTTCGTGCAACTTGCGAAAAAGCGCGTCCGTAGTGTATTAGGAAGCTCAGTAGTGGTCATGGCCTGAAATTGAACAAAATCTCAGTGGGTCAATTTTCCTTCATCTGCTTACCAACTTTGCTTTGCGACTTCTTGAAGGCTTATTCTACCAAAATTGTAATGGTGCCCTACCGTAATGATCACCATGGTGGCCCAAGTCATGACCGTGTCCATGGAAGCCGTGGCCGTAATGATCGTGATCGTGACCGTGATGTCCGTGGTCGTTCGTGTGGTCATGATCATGGTCATGATCGTGGCCGTGGTCTCCATGGTGGTACTCATGTCCGCCTGCATGATGCTCCTTACCGTGGTGTCCTTCACCGTGGCCGTCATCGTATGAAGATCCTAAAAACCAAATGGTGGACGTGTTTGGGAGGACATCGGAGAAAAAAGGTTACCATAATGCGATATGTTCTTGTCCTTTGGCGGTATTCAAAGAGGTAAACTTACCGTAATATGATCCGTGTTCCTTTCCTTTTGCATAACTTCCCCATCCACCGTACTTGTGGCTGCCGTAGTCTCCATATCCACCCTCATCGAAGCCTTTCTTGAAGCCATCGCCATGGGAGTGATCGTGTTCGTGCCCGTGGTGGCCAGCACCATATTCACCATAGCCGTGTTCATAGTGGTCTAAATAAGGACAGATGCTCGTAGTAGGGTCTTAAGCGCTCAGATAGGCTGTCATATCGAGAGATTGCTTTCAACTTACCATCAGCATAGGCGATGCAAATCAAGGCAAGCAGTGAAGAGATGATGAGGGTGTTCATGGTTGAAGACGATGTACTGCGAACAGTGGATGGAATAGCCGATCATTCCCCTGCTTATATACTCTGCATCACTGCAAGAGCCGGTGGGATCACTGCGATTGTCTTGCAACGCCAGCAGGTTTCAGATGTTCTTTAAAAAAGCAACACCATGGAATAATGGGCTTATAGTCAATCAGCATTCCTTTACTTACTTGCAGTGTTGTTAGTAATTACCAGATTATTTCCGTGCTAGTTACAGGTTTTATGGTGCTTCCGTCTACTAGCTGGATAACATGCCGCGGACGTGAATAATTGCTTTGTTGTCATCCATTTGCATCTACACATACTGTAGGACAATTACCGCATATGACATGCCCTCCAGTTTGGAAAACGAGAGGAGTGCGGGTGCGGACCAAACACCACAAACGACGGTCAAGGATTTTTTCTTGCCCTGTCATTTGTGGTGTATGGTTTGCAGCCGACACCCTTCTCGTTTTTTAAAGTATAGGGTATATCTCTGTGTTTCCTAAAATATGTACATGTGCATAATTGTGCATGTCGATAAAGGTCAACCGTCGCGCCCCTTTTCCAAAAATTTTGCGACCCTTACCGTTAAGGGGGGGCTACTAATACAGCACCCCTCTTCCCTATCGCGATCATCACCCTCAGCATCATGGCTGTTTCTCGATTTTGAGACCACTCGACACACCCAGCTCCGCCCACTTATCCCCACTACGCGGGACTCCGTAGAAAAGTTTACTCGCGGCGCGGACGCGTTCGCGTGTTGGTGACGTCATTTTGACGTAAGAGCGAGGGCGAAATAAGGAGCAAGAGCCGGCGTTGCCGCCAACTCTTCAATACATTGGGTACTGCTAGCATTTATTGTATTAGGTCAACTCATTCAAACATGTCCAGACATCTAGAGAAATGGTGGGAAAAGTAAAAGAGCTAGAGCATTCTACTTGCTTTTGCTTTTAAGCTAGCACACCCAGCTACGGTATACTCTAATTTAGTTTATAGTGCTGCAGGAGGAAACACTTAAACACATAAAAGAATTCATAGTGACCCAAATCGAGGTGGAATTTCCAGATGACTGGTGACACACGTAAAATTCGCAACTCGAATTCTGTGTGTGCTGGCTCAACTTACGCGTGATACAGTGTTCTCGAAGTGCTACGTTGAAGATATGGTGTGAGAGCTCAAAGAAGGGAGAACGGAAGCGAGTTGTGGTTGAGGACGCGTTCATATTGTCCACCTTCCCCAAGAAGAGCGGGTGGATGAAATGAGGTTTCAAATGGCGCATCACAGATGTTGAACCTTTGCGATGTTTGCCCACGAGACTTGCAGTCTAGCTGCACCTGTTACGCAAATTGTGCCCAAAAATTGGGGATGGTCCACAGAACATGTTTTTGGATATGCCATTTACTCCCAGATGCAGGAGTCCAGAATCGAATTGGTGTCTGTAGCAATGATTTTCTCTGCCGATAACGGCATTTAAGACTATCAAACTGGACCCTGCTCATAAACGAAATTTGTGTGTAATTGTACGCTGAGGCCAAAGTCAGAAGTGTCAACTTTGGATTAACGCGAATGAGGAACTGCCCGAATTGGATCACGAGAAGTCACGTGGGTTCACGTGGATGATTATTATGGCGATGGATTTCTGAGGTGTGCCTCTTAAATGGCTCTGTCGGGAAAAAACCTCCGGCGTTTCTCAAGTTTATGGCTTGTTTCTTAGCGAACAAATTGACAAAGGAATAGCAGTATAAAACTACAATAACGATATCATCACCTATGTCGATACCAGACCCTACATAGCTCATATTGCTCACGGGTATTTCGATCAAACGGATATTGTGGCCTCTTCTTATCAGCTGTATTTTCCCAACTGCAGCCATGCGACCTCAGCTGTTTTATCGAACTGAACGCCCTACTCGTTCGGAAGCGCTACGACAATTCGTTGATCATCTATACTGACATCAAAAGCATCTTGTCTATACTTGTTGAAATGAAGAAGCTGCGCGGTGTCCAGTGTTTTCTAGACGCTGGGATCGGGTCGTTAACAACGACAAGATCTGCTTGACTTCCACACCAAAGTATTAGCTTTTTATCTTTCCTGCTGTTCATTTTATTCGAATAAAACCGTGGACATGTTTGAATGAGATGACTTAGTTTCACTGTGCAGTAAGTATTGGTGTAAGAGGGAATCGCAATATAGATGATTTCATAAGAACGAACTTCAGTTTGATTGCGCGCTCCTTAGGATTTACACAAGAGGTTATTGACCTCTCTTCATTCCATTACGAAGTGCTATATCTGGAACATGCCGTACAAAAAAAAACAATTATTTCTCTCCCGCACTATTGATTGTATCGGATTATTAAATACTAGCCACCTTGTTAGTGTTCGAGCGAAACCCTGCCGCAGCCGTGACGTCACTAGCACGCGCTCGCGTCCGCGCCGGCGGTGTTTTTCTCCCCCCCCCCCTACGCGGAGTGGTGGTCAAAGCGGAAGCGGTATCATGAAACGGCAAAGCCACCAATTTTGTCTAGTTCACCTATTTTCGTGAAACTTTGGCCAAACTGTTGACACTCATACCAATTGGTGCAGATTGATTTCAATTCTGCATGTCTTCAGACAGATAGCCGTATAAGATACTGTATTGTGTGCCACAGTTGCAGCGTCTAGCAGGTTGATGTTTGGTGGCGCTAGGTTCGTGGTAGGCGGTCAGATGCTTGACAAGGCATCCAACTTCCATTCGTGACACTCATTTGCCGTCTCGTCGCTAATTACAACTATCATTTACCAGAAATCAGCTATCACTATGAACAACTTCTAACCAGATTTACTTGGAGGCCGTCGTCAGTTGTGGTGTTTGGTCTGCACCCGACACTTTCTCGCTTTTTGAAAGAGAGGTAGGTGGAAACCCTTTTCAATCATGCTGCTGCGAAAGCAAATGGGAACCCGTCAGTCGAGTAGGGACCACTACCCTATTGACTATGGGAGATTTGAAAACCGTATTTGAGATCAGCGCCCAAAAACACATCCACAAGCCTGGGTCGCATTACATTTGGCCACTTCGATCCTTTCATCCTCTCTTGGTAACCAAGCTTGCTATGCACCCACTGGGGCCACGATACAGACCATGAGGACATTTGTGTAGCCAATTTCGGTACAATAAATGTAAATTTTGAAAAATTTATTTACATCAGAAGAAGATGGAAAATGAAACTTTGTTGTTATCTTTCGTGCAACTTGAGAAAGAGCGCGTCCGTAGTGTAGAAGGAAGCTCAGTAGTGGTCATGGCCTGAAATTGAACGAAATACTTCTTCCAACTAAAGTTTCTCAATCGACCATTTTCCTGTATCTGCTTGCAAACTCTGCTTTGCGACTTCTTGAAGGCTTATTCTACCAAAATTGTAATGGTACCCTACCGTAATGATCACCATGGTGGCCCAAGTCATGACCGTGTCCATGGAAGCCGTGACCGTAATGATCGTGATCGTGACCGTGATGTCCGTGGTCGTGGCCGTGGTCATAGCCGTGATCGTGATCGTGGTCGTGGTGGTGTCCATGGAGGCCGTGACCGTAATGATCATGGTCGTGATCGTGACCGTGGTGTCCGTGATGGTGGTCATGATCATGGTCATGATCGTGGCCGTGGTCTCCATGGTGGTACTCATGTCCGCCTGCATGATGCTCCTTACCGTGGTGTCCTTCACCGTGGCCGTCATCGTATGAAGATCCTAAAAACCAAATGGTGGACGTGTTTGGGAGGATATCGGACGAAAAAAGGTTACCATAATGCGATATGTTCTTGTCCTTTGGCGGTATTCAAAGAGGTAAACTTACCGTAATATGATCCGTGTTCCTTTCCTTTTGCATAACTTCCCCATCCACCGTACTTGTGGCTGCCGTAGTCACCGTATCCACCCTCATCGAAGCCTTTCTTGAAGCCATCGCCATGGGAGTGATCGTGTTCGTGCCCGTGGTGGCCAGCACCATATTCACCATAGCCGTGTTCATAGTGGTCTAAATAAGGACAGATGCTCGTAGTAGGGTCTTAAGCGCTCAGATAGGCTGTCATATCGAGAGATTGCTTTCAACTTACCATCAGCATAGGCGATGCAAATCAAGGCAAGCAGTGAAGAGATGATGAGGGTGTTCATGGTTGAAGACGATGTACTGCGAACAGTGGATGGAATAGCCGATCATTCCCCTGCTTATATACTCTGCATCACTGCAAGAGCCGGTGGGATCACTGCGATTGTCTTGCAACGCCAGCAGGTTTCAGATGTTCTTCTAAAAAAGCAACACCATGGAATAATGGGCTTATAGTCAATCAGCATTCCTTTACTTACTTGCAGTGTTGTTAGTAATTACCAGATATTTCCGTGCTAGTTACAGGTTTTATGGTGCTTCCGTCTACTAGCTGGATAACATGCCGCGGACGTGAATAATTGCTTTGTTGTCATCCATTTGCATCTACACATACTGTAGGACAGTTACCGCATATGACGTGCTGGAAGACGAGAGCAGTGTCGGGTGCGGGCCATACACCACAACTGACGACGGTCAAGAACAAAGCAATTTTTTCTTTTTGTTCTCGGCCGTCGTCATTTGTGGTGTGTCGCTTGCAGCCGACACCCTTCTCGTTTTTTAAAGTAGAGGGTATATCACTGGTGTTTCCTAAAATTTGTATATGCGCTTAATTGTGCATGTCGATGAAGGTCAATCGTGAAGGTCACCCACTTTTCCAAAAATTACCGTTTAGGGGAGGGGTCGATGCGACTGCTTCCATCACCGCCAGTCTTAGGAACGCCTAATACAACACCCCTCCTCCCTATCGCGATTATCATCCTCAGCATCATGGCTGTTCCTTGATTCTGAGACCACTCGACACACCTCAGCTCCGCCCACTTATCCCCACTACGCGGGACTCCGTAGAAAAGCTCACCCGCGGCGCGGACGCGTTCGCGTGTTGGTGACGTCATTTTGACGTAAGAGCGGCGGCGAGGGAAGGAGCAAGAGCCGGCGTTGCCGCCAACTCTTCAATACATTGGGTACTGCTAGCATTTATTGTACTTTAGCTTCACTGTGCAGTAAGTATTGGTGTAAGAGGGAATCGCAATATAGATGATTTCATAAGAACGAACTTCAGTTTGATTGTGCGCTCCTTAGGATTTACACATTGAGGTTATTGACCCTCTTCATTCCATTACGGAGTGCTATATCTGGAACATGCCATACAAAAAAAAACAATTATTTCTCTCCCGCACTATTGATTGTATCGGATTATTAAATACTAGCCACCTTGTTACTATTCGAGCGAAACCCTGCCGCAGCCTGTGACGTCACTAGCACGCGCTCGCGTCCGCGCCGGCGGTGTTTTTCCCCCCCCTACGCGGAGTGGTGGTCAAAGCGGAAGCGGTATCATGAAACGGCAAAGCCACCAATTTTGTCTAGTTCACCTGTTTTCGTGAAACTTTGGCCAAACTGTTGACACTCATACCAACGGTGCAGATTGATTTCAATCCTGTGTCTGTGTCTTCAGGCAGCCGTATAGGATACTGTATTGTGTGCCACAGTTGCAGCGTCTAGCAGGTTGATGTTAGGTGGCGCCGGTTCGTGGTAGGCGGTCAGATGCTTGACAAGGCATCCAACTTCCATTCGTGACACTCATTTGCCCTCTTTGGACGGGCGAATCAATTATAAAAGGTACTCATGCAGGTATCAAAAAGCTCACAGATTTTTGAGACTTGTACCACTACCTGGTATGTGCCCTATCATGTACCACCTCACCGCGGTGATAGGGTGTACACCACTAGGTGGTGGCCAACGGTACAAACGGCTACGCAGTACGCATCTGTATGTGTATGGGCGGCTCTTTTGTATCCCTAGCAAGGAACAAGAGAGTAACCAAGCCAACAAATTGCTCAAACAGCTATAACTGTGCCCCAGTCCTGCGCACACCGGAAATGCTCCCCTACGGCGTCGGGGGAAGCCTCTGCTGGTGAGGGGCCATCTAATCTCGCAAGGGAATCAGGACGTCATCGGAATCGGAACAATGGAAACTCTCTCATACCATGACACAAGTAAGTACCTGGTATGTGTTGCTTCACACAAAGCCCCCTCTACTCTTGACGAGCTTCTTCCATCAGCGTCCCAAAAGAACGCTTCGATATTTTGCGAGAAACGGCACCATGAGGTACTTTGTAATTAGTGCAACGCCGCCAGAAAGGCGGCTATCATGTTGCAATCAGTTATTCCAGCTGTCCGTTTCTTGACCAGTCGCATGTATACCCTTCCTGGAAACTGCAACAACAATTGGTGAGATCGGCTGGTTTTCTTGTGCTTCCTAGGCTTAAACAAAATAAATATAATAGTTGTAATATGAACATAGAAAATAACTGTCTATGTTGATTTCTTATGAGAAATTTCGATGAGAAGTTCCCCTTCTTTTCAAAACAATTCGGGACGCTATCGAAAGATACGAGTGTATCCTCTAGGACTAAGCCAGGGAGGGACCAGGCTCAATGGGGTATAAAACAAATTGCTCACGCAGACTGGAGTATCTCCTTCTCCACCTAAGGCTCAGCCCCATTTTTAACAAAACGCGATGTTTTATGCGGTATGAAAAGCACTGCTACCACAGTGCCCTCGTGTCGTGCGATAGGTCGTCAATTTGGTTATAAATCAATGGTAGCCCAGCAAGTATTCGGATTTTTCCAGTACTGCTAATGGAAGAGTAGTGCTCGAAGCTGGACCTCATACCGAAAACACCGTGAATCCTACCAAAGTGGCCAAGTTCTCATGTAACTGTCGATATCTCTGGCTCAGAGAACTCCATGGTGTCTCAACGCTCATGATGGTAAGGACTTTGAATATGGAGTATTTTCGTGCATTGTTGATAATTAATAATTATGTATTCTTATAATGAGAAGAATATAATTGATAACCACACCGAAGTAATTGAAGTTGTTCCTTGTGACGGAAGTTAATGCAAAGCGGGTAGAAGGGTGAGAAGAAAGTTAAAAAGGGCTTCTGGTATCTCTCGTCGTGCAGGTGAAGCACCATCGTTACAGCGTCCATTGGCTTCGTCGTGCACATGCACTAGGATTTGATAAAATTGGTACCAACGGAGGTTGCAATTGCTCTGGGCGAGAGGAGAGCGGGGTCCTGTAGGAAGGCCAATTTAAGCCTAACGAAGAGGGACGAATACCGGAGAAGATGAAAAATGCTTGCGGGCCACAGAGTTCCTCTTCTCTTCTAAGGTTCGATCCTGCAATTCAGCATTCTCACGAATCTGACGCTCTGACGCAATGTTAAGGACCCCTACGAAGCAACGTTCAGTGGCATAAAGAACCATTCCACGATTATTTCAGAGAGTGAAACCCTTGCTCAAAAGCGGTTAGCTACGGGCCGCAAGTTTACCCTGCTGTGCGAAAACCAGAAACGCGTGGAGCGCAGACTCCACACCACAAGTGACGACTGCCTCAAAGTGACTGTTAACTAAGATTCATAATGAAAGCTGATAGGTGATAAATGATAGTTGTAATTAGTGACAACTGACAGACCAATCGACTGCAACCGGCTAATCATTTTATTGGCCGAAGACAACATCGCCACTTGTGGTGTGTGGTCTGCACTCGAAGGGCTTCCCGTTTTCTGGAGCAGGGTGCTGTATAAGTTTCGTGTACAAGTTTCGCGCCACGAATTTTTGAGGCAGGACCCGATGTTTTTCAGCGATTCGCCCCGAACTTCGATATTGCGCCTTGAAAT